CAGGGCTCTGAGCACATTTCAGGACCCACACACTGCTACACTCACACTACCTTATCGCGCTGGATGCATGGCTGAGGGTGGAGCACCCTCAGATGTCTGTCTGTTGCCATGGTGATAGATCACTGAAAGCTCTCAGTCCACTGAGGAGAGAAAATGTGACCCGCTGCTGCATCCTGATTCACCAGCCGCTTGTCTGCAAAGACGCAGAGATCAAACTATCTGTGTCTCCCTAGTTCAATGAACCGAAGAACAGTTCTGCATGAGTCATGGAACGACATGAACAATGGAGTTAGTGTGTGTAGTTTGCACTTTTTAAACTGGCCTTAAACTAATAATTATTGCTAAATCAGCTGGTGGCTTTTCTCTTTTTTTTCTGGTGCACAGGAAGCGGCACGTTTTATATTTCCACCACCAGCAACAGGGATTAATGTGCATGTGGAAGAAGAGCTGATTGGTTAGTCTGAACACTAATCACTTTGACTAAACAAAGAAAAGGTCTGCTGCTAAAAAGAGGTCACCTCACAGAAAATACTGATGTTTAACGAGCGAGTTCTCATGAGAAAATGCCACAAAGAGAAGCACTTTAATACTAGGAAAAAAACAAAGAAACGGGGACCAGTACAAGTGCCTTTTAATGTTTTTTTAATGGGAATGGTCTTGCTCTGTCTTTGCCTGAAGTATATTGCGTTACTAAAAGCCTAATGTACGTGGTGTTTATATAAGGGGAAATAAAACCAAAGTCAGCTATTGTTTTATAGCGAAGCGTTTTCAGCTGTTAACAGCTCCAAAGTGAGCTGTTGGACCTGTTGTAAAAAAGGTTATGCAGGCAGATTGGAGAGTTGCATTAATTTCAGTCCCCTGTGCCAGTTCTTTAATTCAAGAGCAAGCTTATGAATTAGATCAGATGTGCAGATTCTCTTTAATCACTGAGCTCGAGACTACAAAGCTGCAGGGAGACCTGCTCCAGGAGGACTCTCGTAGCACGAGAACTTATTTGGTTAAAAGACTGAAAAAAGTCGGGGCTTTCAAAATCACACCAGTCCACCCATTTTATCACGTCGTATTCTTGTGAAGTATGCGCTTGAGAAGTGCCGCTGTTCACTTCTCACTGGACGAATTTAAAAATGCAAATCATACAGTGTTACAGTACGTGTGTGGTTGCATAACACAGCTACTAAATGAATCCTGTCATTTAAAGAAAGAAGAAAACACATTCAGGTGTGATTAAGCGCCACCGTTACTTAAACAACTACAGGATAAACTGAAGAACATGGCTGGTAGTTGTAGTACTAGAAGCATTAATAAATAGAAAGACTGCAACGGCTACTGAGGACAACTGTGTCCAGGAAAGTTCAGCATCCTCTGAGAGATTTCACGTTTACAGAAGTGATACAGAGTGACTGTTTTATAATGTTAACTGAATATTTCGGGAACTGTAAACAGCCACTTGTAGTGCAGAAGATGTATTGATGTTTCACTGATAGGAAGTTTATAATAATAATAAATGATTAGTAAGTAAATGAGTGCCACGGGGACTTGGATCAGTGCTAGTATTAACTGATGCTGCAGGATCAGTGTCCAATTAAAAACTAAAGGGACCCACAGCTGCCCTCTAGTGAGCAGTTAAATCACTGAACATTTAATGCGTGTACACAGTTAGAAGACTTGGAATGATTTAGATCATAGTTGCTTGATAATTATATATGTTAAAATAAATATAAGAAACGGTGCATGGTGCACACTAGTCTCTCTGGCCTGACCAGGCCCTAACAGTAACATGTTGAAAAAAGATATAGGATTTTGAAAGGTGAACACTATCACAGTGCAAGAGAACATTTTGAAATATCCCCAGACTGAGAGATCTGAACACACTCCTTCCTCATTATTTCTTTAATGCCTTATCACCTCTGCTTCCTGCCGTGCTTTAGTAACAGACAGCCCAGCCCCACCTCCTCCACCTCCCCCAGAGGACATTGGTGTCTTTGAAGAGCCAGCTCCCCCTCCTCCACCTCCACCTGTAGACTACGAGGAAGAGGAGGCCGCAGTGGTTCACTACAACGATCCCTATGCTGATGGAGACCCCCAGTGGGCTCCCAAGAATTACTTAGAGAAAGGTTAGTACCCCGAGTTAATCATTGTATTTAGACTTTCACCAGTGCAATGAGCCATTTTACTGTTTTTTTCATTTTCCACAGTTGTGGCCATTTACGACTACTCCAAGGACAAGGAGGACGAGCTGTCCTTCATGGAAGGGGCCATCATCTACATAATCAAGAAGAACGACGATGGCTGGTTCGAAGGCGTCTGCAACGGCGTCACTGGACTCTTCCCTGGAAACTATGTTGAGTCGATCATGCACTATGCTGACTAAAGAAAACAAACAAAAAACCCCACACGTGAAGGCGCTGCAGAGGTAATCCGTGAAGATGTACAGACGTATGCGGCGCAGCGATAGCAGTTCATACAGTTTGGAATGAAGTGCCATGGTGAATTAATAAGTAGTTTTCTTCTTTTGTGGGGAGAGGAAAGGGTTTGATCTGCCCTATTAAAAAAATAAATACATAAATAAGATGCCGCACAAAGTAGGAGGGTGTTGAAGCTTTGCAAGGCCTGTGTCTGGAAGTAAAGGCCTTTTTTTTTCCACCACTGTCACATGGTAGGGCTCATCAAACAGCAACATTTTGCCTCACGACAAAATGACGTACATCAATAACAACTTCAGTGGATACAGAGTAAATCTAGATGTAGTGTTGCTTTTTCCGAGTATGCAGTAGATCCAGAAAGTGACGCACTGCTACAGTTTTACCGAGACAGTGTAACCGCTTTACGGTAAAGTGCTGCACACTTTTTCCTTCTCGTTTATTTGTACTGTAGACCATCAGACCAGCTCTTTCCTTCCTTTTGAAAAACAACGATCTTACATTATCAGAGACCTGAAAAGGACAAACGAACGTCATCAAGTGCATTAGGACACAGCTGAATGTGCCGTTGACGTCCAAATCACACAAGGTGTTTAAAAAATATATTAAGGAGGATAATGGCCAGATGGAGCTGTGTATTCAGTATGCTCTCTGCTGTTAAAAAAGGAGTGGGGGTTGAAGTGAGTGTATAGACTGATCGCAAAAAAAAGAAAAGAGTTTCTTCTTTCTGATGGAGTCTCTTTCTGTTCTCTAACTTGTATATAAACTGTAATGTGAGAAGCTGCCAGTACAGTACATTTGTCAGTGTGTTTCACCAGTGTTTCCATCAGCGTCAGTGGGTGGGGGGAAGGGCGTGGTGCCAAGAGTGGATGTTTTGAGAATTTTTTACTTTACTTTTTACTTTATTTTTACTTGAAAATTAATTTTATTCATCACCCACAGTGCCATTTTAACGTGATTCAGGCAAAGTGGTTGTGTACAGGCATTTATTTTTCTACGTTAGGTCACAACTATATCGTCTTGATCGCCATCACTGTATTTGTCGATGCTGTCCAGCTACTGTAGCAGAGCGCTCACGTGCTTGCTGCTTCGTGACGCGAAGCAGAGGAAGGACTAAGTCGTGTGGCTTTCTTGTTTTTTTTTTCATGTTGTTTCCATTGTGCACTGATTAGTTAGCGGTAACTGTGATGACTTTTATTTCCATCATGGCTTTTATCACAAACACAAGCGTTGCCATCTCCAAAGTATCAACTAACCTTCAGGCTTTGTTTGTTCTTTCAGTGGTTGCTGGTGCGGTGCTTTACATTGGTGCTTAATAACCATAATCACCAACCCAAACAACCTCAAGTCCAAGACTCCTCCCACACAGAAATGTAACAAAGGACTTTTAGTGTCGTTATCGATCGTTTTGATTGTAATCCTCGGCCACTTTTGTGTTTGTAGTGAATGTAGGTGACTCGGCGATGGTGATGTGCTTCAGCTGGAGTCGCTTTATGTCTTTTTGTCCGTTCTGTGCTACACACGAATGACACCCGCTACCTGCAGTGAAGGAAGGAATCTCAATCTTTAGGTCTTAAAAGTTCCGATTTGTCCTACGAAATAAGATGCCTGTTCTGGCGGAGTGATTGTTGGTGCAAACTCGCTCTCAAATATCATTCAATATAATGCCTGTCTCAGAATATATGTTTGTAACAAGTCATATGAACATAATCACGTGTACTTTAGAATAATAGGGGCATTCAACTTTTATTTTGAAAGGGAACATTTTCAAGGTTTTTAGGCAGAATATGACTCATTCATATCGACAGTATTCATAAAGCATGGAAGTATCTAAACGTCATTACAGTGAATGATTCGCCACTACATCCCTTTCTTGATTGTATTTATTCCATCATGAGGTCATTTTGTTTTGTGAGGACTTTTTCTACCTGATGTATTTCTAGTTCTGCATTCAGCTTCTTTTTATGTGTGAGACTGCTGAGGAAGGATTCGATAGCAGTTTTATGTAAATGATTTATTTATACTTACTTTTTTCATAGAGTAATCATGAGACAACCACCGATGTGCAAAACTTTGTAATGTTTACCACTTAACGTCTCTAGCATTTCAGGGCATCACAGGTCAAGGCGCCTTTCTTTGATGTGCGTTTTCTTATGATCATTTGTGGAAATGAAAAGAAAAACAAAAAAACATCCGAAACTTTAATGTTCATTGGAGCAGAATGCGATATTTGTCTTCTCCTCTCAGTTTGTACATAGGATGTGTTCATTGAAATTTATGTACAGCCTTTTTTGTAATAAACAGCTCGATGAAACAAATGACAGCACTGTGAGTTTTGTGCCAATGAGCTGTCTCAAAAGATGGAAACAATCTGCAGCATACTGTAAACATGCTGTCTACTGTATGTTTGTGCCCCCAAATAAAAACCACAAATAAATATAGATTTGTGAATAAATAACTTTCAAAACATGCGCTTATATCTTACCACTGCTATGTGTTTATGTGTAACTGCAGCCTTATTTTAGGAGAAACTGGCTAAATCGAGGCTATCTGAGATTAATTCGCGATGTACACAAAGTCTCAAAAGGATGTACGTTCTGGAGGGGGAGGAGGAATGAAGTCGGGTGGTGGCTCATATTCGTAGTCTTCAGTATGGTTTGCGGTTTTGGGTGCTGATAGACCCGGGTCAGGGGTGTGACCACTGGATTTTTCTGTAAAGACACATAAGAATGAAATTAAGAAGTCTTGAGTTTCAGATTCAAATATTCAGGACTTTATGCCGAAAATAACATAATACAAAGATGATACAAAGAAACTGTTCAAAAAATAAATAAAAAAGGTAACACACACATCGAGTCTTGATGAATGAAATATTCAGGGTGAAAATCTTTGCTGATTTCGATTGTTTAATTCATCGAGAACAAACTAAAGAAACACAAACACATAAAAAAAACAAAGTTCAAAACTGAAATCACAGTCTGATCCAACTGGTGCCCCTGTGTAGCTGCATCCAGTCCCAACAGCCTCTGGGCTTCTGGTCAGAAATCGGATCGTGTCCTGCTGGATCTCTTCACACACATGGATCAGGATATCACTGAGCTCCTGGACAAGTCGCTGTTTGGCAGTGTTGGATTCGCCAAAGTTGGATTCAACTCTGGTGAAGGTGAGGGCCAGTCAATGGGCAATCAGCGCCTTCGACATCCAGGCACTGCTTACACACTTGGGCTGCATGAGGCTGGCTACTGCCCGGAAACAGGAGAAACCCAGTCCTCACAGCATGAACATAATGTCTAATGATAGGCTGGACGAATTCATCCCAGTTCACAACAGTCAGGGTGGTATTCATCATTCAACATGACACTGCCAAACTGGCACACTGAATAATGTTGAAGGCAGCATAAAATCTGACTATTTGATGCCTGTGACATGAACCTGCTTTCATTTGTAAAGACGACAGAGTGCCAGTGGTGGACCTGCCAGTTCTGGTGTTTTCTGGCAGTCAAGCTGCACAGTCCTGGGCTGTGAGTACAGGTCCTACTAAATGATGTGGGGTCCTCGTGACACCATCACAAAGTGGGATTCTAACAGCTTGGTCAGAAACACAAACGGTAGGCTGTTGGACGTCATTTTATGTTCCTCTATGCACAGAGGAGACAGATACTGGTCGTGCTGGCCTTCTATGGCCCTGTCCAACTCCTTTTATGTAATAGGCTGTCTCCTAGTATCTCGCCAACACTCTTGAGACTGTACTGACAGACATAACAAACCTAGTGATGCCAAACATGGATGTGCCATCCTGGAGGAGCTGTTCCACCAACTGCAAACACCAACTCGCTGCATCAGTAGTGACAAGAATATTTCCAAAAAAGGAAACTTAGAGATAAATCAGTCGGGAGGGATACGAAGAGATTAATGATCTGTGGCCACACAAGAGTAAAGTAAAGCAAAAGTAACTATGGGAATGGGTTCATAACTGTACAATGAGAAATAGTTTAAGCTAAACAATTTTAATTTAAAATTTCATCACTCAACGTAAAATAAGCAAATATTTGGGGCTTTGGGCAGCACGGTGGCACTGTGGTTAGCACTGTTGCCTCACAGCAAGAAGGTTCTGAGTTCAATAGGGTGGGGCAAAGTCTCACCGTGGTTTCATTCTTAACCTGATGTGATAGTAATGACCCAAGCCATTTTACACACCATGGCTCATGTGATGATGTACATGATTATTAGAAGGTTAGCGACTACCACCAAAGAGGACGACCCCCACTAGGGTTTAAACGCCTATCCATGTTTTGTTTTTAAAATTGCAGAAGGATGTGAGGATGAATGTCTTCACAAGCTTAACGATTTCCAGTTGCCTTATTTTAGCACACAAAGAACCGTTTTCACTCATAGTGCACAGATTGTTATAATACTTCTGGAAATTTGCATGTCAATATCTCTGCATGCAATTCTAAGGGCAAGTAACATTAAGGAGGATCAGCATGTCCATTATTCTAACATAGTTATATCTTAGTACAGACACTGAAACTTACCTTTATATGCAGCAGACTGAAGGGTTTTCGTAGGAGAAGCTCTCTTCATCGCTGCCTGGTAGTTTTTATACAGGGCGGTTCCATACTGAACACACACAGAGGACACAGTGACATATATATACATATATCTTCTATATGTATAAAAGAGGGCTGTGTTTGCACTGTCCATTCATTCACGCCGTGGCAGACATTTCTGGAGTCACATAATTACATGACACACCAAAAAGTAGTTTCTAAAAGGTGTAGACTCCATCCATCAACCTGAACGAGTGGACCGTTTGAACACGGTTTTTAATTTCACTGTGTATGGCAAAGCGAGCTGTGCTACAGTTGGGCTGAATCTGACCTTGGCTATTCTGATGGAGTTGACCCAAAGCACCAGTGTTTTTTCATCATCACAGCAAAGTAACTTGATGTAGGGAGAGTCTTTCTGGATGCATGGGTGCTGGGAAAAGAGTGACAACAAAGAAAGCTTTTATGCCAAAGAGGACGGCCAGTCATTTAGTATCACAGTCCACTTCATTGATGGGGAGAAAAGAGAAAGAAATGGTAAACAGGTATGCTTTCTGGTATCAGAAGGCTCTAAAACGCTGCATCCTACGTTACCCATAAGTCTAATTCTTTTAGCAACCTGGGAAAAGCCAACATCTTTGCAAACCTGCACATTTAAGCTCACAGTTACAAATCCTGTGACATCACGCTGACATCATTTATTCAAGATGTCTTTCAGCGACACACAGAAAATGTCCCACTGTTTTCCAAAGGTAGGGAAGTGGGTCTCATTTATATTAAATTAAATGCTAGATTTTGGTGCTTCTGTAAAAATATATATTTGTAATCCACAAAAGCATCCAGCAGAGGGCAGGCCATGCCAAACTGTAACTACAGAGTGGGCCGTGAATAAGCACTGAAGGGTTAAATCATTGCTCTGCCACTGTCATTGTGGAAGTCGTACGCGTGACTAACACTACATCTCCAGAGTGCACGTGATTATCTGGTCAAATTCTTACAGCTGAGAAGAATCTGTTTAACATACTGAGAAACGACCCCAAAAACAGGAAACTAGGTTGCACCCACTGGTCAGTATGGGCGAAACCAATTGAGGTTTTGTTTTTCTAGTACCACTTCCTCACTTAGCTGCATCATCTGAAAAAAGCCATCTTGATCTGTATGCTGAGTGCATCCGGTATCATTTAACTGCGGTCACTTCGGTTGGTGTGATATTTGAAACACATGTTAATGGAGAACAATATGAGTCAGTATGAGTCTTAAGCTACAGCTGAGTAGCCCTCAGATATAAACTTACATGGCCTTCAAATAGTACTACCTCAGGTCTGCACTTTGCACCACTCCATGTTTAGGTCTGCCCCCGAACTGAATTAAAATAAGTGATAAAAACCAAACCACAATCTTCTTGTTGCACTCTGCACTTCTGGTCACTGGTCTGTTTTATTCTTGCATGTTCAGGAAGCCTTCAGAGTGCTTAAAACAGATCAGACTACTTGAACTAATGAGAATGGATGCATCTCAGACTTAAAAATGGTAACTCAGGTAATTTTTCTTATAAGTATGCAAGTGTCCTTACACTGTGACTTTACAAAGAAGGGTCCCGAGTAAACAGCGGATCTTGTTTACAGCGGTTTTGTTGTTGTGTGATTGCAACATCAGCCTATGATCAGAAAGAAGCGTGAAGAAATAGGAAAGTTGCATAAAGGGCTTCCTGATGCCATCGCCACTTTAAGATTCAAGCTGCTGAGCTGACCTTTAGCATGAAGCAGAAGTTGGTGGGAGCTCTGTACTTCTGTTTGTAGTTCTTGGTCATATAGATGTTGATTTTTTCAAAATGGACAAAGCAGGCGAGATCAGTGGACGACTGGAATATAGAAAACAACAGGATATTATGACTCTATGGCAGATAGATACATAGAACAAAAGCTCAGACATTGGCTTCCTTATAAAATAACAAAATGTTTGTGATTTTGTCTCATTGTTTAGCAGCGCTTGTGGTAGGTATTAAAATCAAGGCAGATGGCCTTTGATGCAAATCCACGAGTTCACACTCACGCTCTGTACCATGGAAATTATACTGTTAATCTCTGTTAATCTCCCTTTTTTTAATTTCAATGTTCAACACATCATGTTCACACATGTCAAAAGATGTTGATCTTCAGCTGAAACTTCAAAGTCTCACTTCTTGGAACTGTAGATGACCAACGGATGACGGCGCCGTACTTTGCTTCTTCTTTTTGCTCTTATTCTCATGTAGACACATAAGACACACACGTCTGCTCCATCCATGTCTCCTTAAATGATTCCTTTTATGTCTGTGATTTGCACATCTGCCTCACACAGTGTTGGGAATTCTTTCACTCGGACGATTTTTGGTGTCAAGCCTGGACGGGCGGTGTTTGTCTTCTCCGTTTTAGTGACAAAGACGACATGTTTCCCCTTAGCGTCGGCGAGCCAGCAATTCAAATTGTCCATCTTCATTTCTCCAGCTCTTCCTCGTGTCTTTCCAGCTCTGTGATGCTTGACCGCTCAGATGGATGCCATTATGCACTTCACACGCAGGCGAAATATTCTTGGATTGTTGTTTATTGGCTGCTCTCATACTTGCTTTAACAATTCGATTTAGTTCAAGTTTAGTTATATAGCACAAAATCTCAACTACAGTTGCCTCAAGGTGCTTTCTATTGTAAGGTAAAGACCCCACAGTAATACAGGGAAAAATGGGCAAGCACTTGGTGACAGTGGGAAGGAAAAACTCAGTTTTGACCAACATGTTCAGCTTTACACATTTACGATCAGCAGTCCTTCTGTAAAGCTGAATAAATGGGAAGTGAACTGCCTGGCACTAAATCAGGTGAAAAACATTTTACTAAAGCTGTAAATTAGCAAGATTCTGATGATGTTTGTTAGTCAACTCAATTGCTGTATGTGTGTAGAAGTGATCTAAATAAGACTTTGCTACATTGTACATGACATGCAGTAGCAGTGAACTGAAATATGCACCTGAACTGTTGCTAAAAAAAAGAAAAGAAAGCAGGGCTGCGTCATCACTAAGATGGTTTTGTTTTTAGTAAATTCACATGAGACAAAATCAGATGGTAGGCGTGCACTACAGCGACTCTTATTTCCAGTTAGAAAGACACTCCTTTATCTGCCTGCTTTACCGCTGCTTTTCTGTTCTTTACCTCACAACCGCTTTCCCACGCGGTCGATCTCAATACTGACATCATTACTCTAGTCCAATCATCTTCTTGCCCGCCTTCTTTGAGCCAATAAGCCCCCAAGGATCTCTCCTCATTGAACTGGCTTTTACATTTTAGTAATAAACAGTAAAACGTCTATGACTAAGGGTCTTGTGCTTACAACATGATGTGCCTAAAAAGCTGCATTCTGTCTGAAGGCCACCAGATGGCGACAGACGTTTGCAAAAAGTCTGCGGAAACAGCTTTCTGACTTGACCTCTGTAAACACTCCTGCTGAGTTCATGGTTCATCATTTTGGGTCATGCTGAATAAAAAATTAAGTCCATTTTGTAAATCTTCATTATATTATATTTCATAATGAAGGACTAACTGGAATGAAACAACTTGCAAACTGGTTAACGACTTGTTGTTAGCAAGCAATGGTGGCGTGGTGGTTGCCTCACAGCAACAGTGCTGGGTTCAAATCCAGCATCTGTGTGGATGTGTGTCTTTGAGCTGTGTGGTTAGGTTAACTGGTGCCTGTCTCTCTGTGCTGGCCCCCCTGTCACAGACTGGCCTATCCTATCTTAGGATGCTAATGGTAGCTGGGGATAGGCTACAGCTCTGGTGACAGTGAATTGGAAGATATATACACAACATACAACAAAAAGTTATATGTGCTGGAATTCAGTGCAGCTATCACAGTATCTACATGTAGCTTAAATGTTTACAGCAGTTCAGGTTTGAGACAGGCCTCATTGAGATCAGCTTCATCTAAAGCCGAGCAGCAGAAAACAGCTAGCCTGGTGTAAGCTGTAGAAATGATTTTGCTCACTCAGGTTGCTAAACCTGTTTTCTTTTAAGCAACAATACAAATAGAAACTTTGATTTGTTATACCTTTGTTTTTCCTTTGGGCACAAAGTAGATGCCCGAAGCCCTGAGCACAAAGTAGCGCGGTTTCCAAACCTTCTTCCCATCTTCTTTGAGGTAAAGTGTGCCCTCTAGGTCGGGAACGATCAAAGTCGAACCCCCGAAATTCTCCTGCAGCGTCAGAGGAATGGCATGAAATGCAAAACTGAAACGTGGCGCCATCAATGAGATGCAAAAATGTGGCACTGCGACTGACCTTGACAAGGAGATCTTTAGCCTGCTGGTTAATCGCACTCAATGCTGCCTTATCCTTTTTCCACATGTAAAATATCTTCACGAGATGAGAAAAGCACAGTTTACTGACTGAGCATTATAACATATAATCACACTTCACCAAGAAGCAGGTTCTCTGTTACCATATTGCTCACCTGAGGATCTGTGAACATCACATACTTTTGTGGTCTTGGCAAAAAGTAGATTTTGTTTTCACTGTACCGAGTCCAAGCAGACAGTGGTTCCACCAAATGTTCATGATCCTCAAAGGTTCTTTCTGAAATAATGGACAATAAAGCAAATTAAGGGAGGACACTCCACAAAAAACCTTTGGAAAGTGGGAAATGTGTGCTCTATTCAAGTGAATTCAGTCTTATTTCTATAGCACCAAATTAGAGACTCTAGAATAATACAGACAAAACCTCAACAATTACACAATACCCCTGTGAGTAAGCACTTGGCGACAGTGGGAAGGAAAAACTCCCTTTTAACAGGAAGAAACCTCCAGCAGAACCAGGCTCAGGGAGCGGTGGGCATCTGCTGTGACCAGTTGGGGTGAGAAAAGGAAGACAGGACAAAGACATGCTGTGGATTAATAACAAGTATGATTCAGTGCAGAGAGGTCTATTAACACACAGTGAGTGAGAAAGGTGACTGGAAAGGAAAAAACTCAGTGCTTCATGGGAATCCCCTGGCAGCCTACATCTACTGCAGCACAACTAAGGGAGGATCCAGGGTCACCTGATCCAGCCCTAACTATATGCTTTAGCAAAAAGGAAAGTTTGAAGCCTAATCTTAAAAGTAGAGATTAATAAACGGCTTGCTTTCTGTTAATATTCAAATTTTCTTTCACGTTCCTTTGTGTCTGCATTTTGGTTCCACTCCTCAAATTCATACATATGTCTAACCGTTTTTCCCCACTCGGCGACACACCCGTCGGGGGTCAAACTCTGGTAATTCTGTTCTCAGACATGTGAAGCTAGAGACACCGGCAACCATAGTCAATTTTCTTCCAGGGGCCAGAGCAGGCGACATTGAAGGAAATTTAAAACTGCTGGCTAAGGGTAAACGTAAATTCAGTAAAATCATAATTCACGTCGGCAGTAATGACACCCGGTTACGCCAACCGGAGGTCACTAAAATCAATATTGAATCGGTGTGTAACTTTGCCAAAACAATGTGGGACTCTGTAGTTTTCTCTGGTCCAATCAGACCAGGAGTGACATGTTTAGCCGCATGTTCTCCTTAAATTGCTGGCTGTCTGAGTGGTGTCCCAGAAACGATGTGGGCTTCATAGATAATTGGCAAACCTTCTGGAGGAAACCTGGTCTTGTTAGGAGAGACGGCATCCATCCCACTTTGGATGGAGCAGCTCTCATTTCTAGAAATATGGACAAATTTATTAAACCCCCCAAAATATGACTATCCAGAGTTGGGACCAGGAAGCAGAGTTGCAGTCTTACACGCCTCTCTGCAGCTTCTCTCCTCCTGCTACCCCCCAAAAAACCCATCTCCACAGAGACTGTGTCAGCTTCCAAAAAGACAAAAAACAAACTAAAAACCAGCAACAAACAACTTAAACATAAACAATTACAAAGAAAGAACAATACAGTATCCACATCCTAACCAAAGAGTAAAACAGTGAAATGTGGATTATTAAATATTAGGTCTCTCTCCTCCAAGTCTCTGTTAGTACATGACTTAATAATTGATCAACAAATCGATTTGCCTTACAGAAACCTGGTTGTAGCAGGATGATTATGTTAGTTTAAATGAATCAACACCCCCGAGTCATTCTAACTACCAGAAACCTCGAAGCACAGGCCGAGGGGGCGGTGTGGCAGCAATTTTTCACACCAGCCTATTAATTAATGAAAGACCAAGACAGACTTTTAATTCATTTGAAAGCCTGATGCTTAACATTGTCCACCCCAGCTGAAAAATTTTAGAAACCAGTCTTATTTGTTATCATCTATTGTCCACCTGGGCCTTACACAGAGTTTCTCTCTGATTTCTCAGACTTCTTATCTGATTTAGTGCTCAGCTCAGATAAAATAATTATTGTGGGTGATTTTAACATCCATGTAGATGCTAAGAATGACAGCCTCAACATGGCATTTAATCTGTTATTAGACTCAATTGGCTTCTCTCAAAATGTAAAAGAACCCACCCACCACTTTAATCACACTCTAGATCTTGTTTTAACATATGGCATAGAAACTGAACATTTAACAGTGTTTCCTGAAAACCCTCTCCTGTCTGATCATTTCCTGATAACATTTACATTTACAATAATTGATTACACAGCAGTGGAGAGTAGACTTTATCACAGATGTCTTTCTGAAAGTGCTGTAACTATGTTTAAGAATGTAATCCACCCACTGTTATCATCTTCAATGACCTGTACCAACACAGAGCAGAGCAGCTATCTGAACGCTACCCCAACAGAGGTCAATTATCTTGTTAATAATAATTTTACCTCCTCACTACATATGACTCTGGATACTGTAGCTCCAGTGAAAACTAAGGTTTCAGATCAGAAGTACCTGACTCTGTGGTATAATTCTCAAACACGTAGCCTAAAGCAGATGACTCGTAAGCTGGAGAGGAAATGGCGTGTCACAAATTTAGAGGATCATCATAATTGGAGAAATATTTTGCTGATTTATAAGAAAGCCCTCCGCAAAGCCAGAACATCTTACTATTCATCACTGATTGAAGAAAATAAGAACAACCCCAGGTTTCTCTTCAGCACTGTAGCCAGGCTGACAAACAGTCAGAGCTCTTTTGAGCCAACCATCGTTAACTAGTAATGACTTCATGAACTTCTTCACAAATAAAATTCTTATCATTAGAGAAAAAATTACCAATAATCATCCCACAGATGTAATATTATCTACAGCTACTTTTAGTACCGTTGATGTTAAGTTACTCTTTTTCTCCAATTGATCTTTCTGAGTTAACTTCTATAATTATTTCCTCCAAACCTCCGTGTCTTTTAGACCCCATTCCTACAAAACTGCTCAAAGAAGTCCTGCCATTAATTAATGCTTCAATCTTAAATATGATCAACCTATCTCTAATAATCGGCTATGTACCACAGGCCTTCAAGCTGGCTGTAGTTAAACCTTTACTCAAAAAGCCATCTCTAGACCCAGCAGTCTTAGCTAATTATAGGCCAATCTCCAACCTTCCTTTCATATCAAAAATCCTTGAAAGAGTAGTTGTCAAACAGCTAACAGATCATCTGCAGAGGAATGGTTTATTTGAAGAGTTTCAGTCAGGTTTCAGAGCTCATCACAGTACAGAAACCGCTTTAGTGAAGGTTACAAATGATCTTCTTATGGCCTCTGACAGTGGACTCATCTCTGTGCTTGTCCTGCTAGGCCTTAGTGCAGCGTTCGATACTGTTGACCATAATATCCTATTAGAGCGATTAGAGCATGCTGTAGGTATTACAGGTACTGCACTCCAGTGGTTTGTATCATATCTATCTAATAGACTACAATTTGTTCATGTAAATGGAGAGTCCTCTTCACCCACTAAGGTCAATTATGGAGTTCCACAGGGTTCAGTGCTAGGACCAATTCTGTTTACATTATACATGCTTCCCCTAGGCAGTATCATTAGAAGACATAGCATACATTTACACTGCTATGCAGATGACACGCAGCTCTATCTGTCCATGAAGCCAGATAACACACACCAATTAGTTAAAGTGCAGGAATGTCTTAAAGACATAAAGGCCGCTAACTTTCTGCTTCTTAATTCAGATCAAACTGAGGTTATTGTACTCGGCCCTGAAAATCTTAGAAATATGGTATGTAACCAGATTCTTACTCTGGATGGCATTACCTTGGCCTCCAGTTATACTGTGAGGAACCTTGGAGTCATTTTTGACCAAGACATGTCCTTCAATCCACATATTAAACAAATATGTAAGCCTGCTTTCTTTCATTTGTGCAACATCTCTAAAGTTAGAAATATCCTGTCTCTTAGTGACGCTGAAAAACTAGTTCATGCATTTGTTACTTCCAGGCTGGACTACTGTAATTCATTATTATCAGAATGTCCTAAAAACTCCCTGAAAAGCCTTCAGCTAATCCAAAATGCTGCAGCAAGAGTACTGACAGGGACTAGAAAGAGAGAGCAGATTTCTCCTGTTTTGGCTTCCCTTCATTGGCTTCCTGTTAAATCCAGAATTAAATTCAAAATTCTACTCCTCACATACAAGGTCTTAAATAATCAGGCCCCATCTTATCTTAATGACCTTGTAGTACCATATCACCCTGTTAAAAGGGAGTTTTTCCTTCCCACTATCGCCGAAGTGCTTTATAGGGGTCATATGATTGTTGGGCTTTTCTCTGTATGTATTGTTGTAGGGTCTACCTTACAATATAATATAGGCCCCATCTTATCTTAATGACCTTGTAATACCATATCACCCTATTAGAGCACTTCGCTCTCACTCTGCAGGCCTACTTGTTGTTCCTAGAGTATTTAAAAGTAGAATGGGAGGCAGAGCCTTCAGTTTTCAGGCCCCTTTTCTGTGGAACCAGCTTCCAGTTTGGATTTGGGAGACAGACACTATCTCTACTTTCAAGATTAGGCTTAAAACGTTCCTTTTAGCTGAAGCATATAGTTAGGGCTGGACCAGGTGACCCTGAATCCTCCCTTAGTTATGCTGCAATAGACGTAGGCAGCCGGGGATTCCCATGATGCATTGAGTTTTTCCTTTCCAGTCACCTTTATAACTCAGTATGTGTTAATAGACCTCTCTGCATTGAATCATATCTGTTATTAACCTCTGTCTCTCTTCCACAGCATGTCTTTCATCCTGTTTTCCTTCTCTCACCCCAACCAGTCGCAACAGATGGCCGCCCCTCCCTGAGCCTGGTTCTGCTGCAGAGGTTTCGTTCCTGTTAAAAGGGAGTTTTTCCTTCCCACTGTTGCCAAAGCGCTTGCTCATAGGTGGTCATACAGTATGATTGTTGGGTTTTTCTCTGTACCTATGAAGCGCCTTGAGGCGACTTTTTTTGTGATTTAGTGCTATATAAATAAAATTGAATTGAAATTGAATTGTACTTCTGTATACTGTGACATTTACAGTTGCTTAGTTAATTAAGTGACTTAATTACTCACTTTTATTTACTAATTGAATTACTAAATGAAGCTGGAATTGTGCATTCTGCAGTTTTTAATAGTGTGTTATTAGTTTTTAAAGAAACAATATGCATTTTATACTATATTGTAAAAAGTATAAGGTAAGTTGAATTTAAAATATAATTAATAAAGTGTTGACTTTTTTCATCAATTCTTGTAGATACACAGAGTCGAGACTGAGCCTGATGATCATACTGAATCAGATGACAGCGGCAGGAATCTCCAAGTTCAACTGCAGATTGCAGATGCAATTATATTAATGCAGATTAATATAAACTCTTCAAGGGTCAAAATCTGCACACACATCATTCTGCATAGTGAAGGTCAGACAATTTGTGCATTGATCTTGAGAAGTAAGACTCATTAATTAATAGTAATATAATTAGACAAATGTTGAAACTTTATATTTCGATACATTTTGTCAACAACAAAAGAAACCAAGCTGTGCAGGCACTGATAACTGAATCTAAAGACCTTCATTTTTGTCAAGATTTGCCTGATTTAACTGTTGTTACCCTTGTTTAGAGCTCACCTTAATATGTATAAAAATGTGAAAAGTTTTTGATGTGTGTTAGAATGATTGTTTAATTGGCAAGGTGTGAACGAACAATTTTCAGAAGCCTCAAAATTCATCTGTTACTATTCCACGAATGTTTCAAATAAATTTCACCTCCATTTCAACATTGAATACGACTGTGGACATAAGAGCTAAAAGGTGCTGTCCACGCATGTGTCCGCTAAGCCCCAGAAGGGTATAACCTGGGTCAAATGTGTTATTGTGTCTGACACACCTACAATATGAGGACTCGCAGAGTGACGTCACTGAAAGTGTGTTTAAAGTGTGTTAAGTTCCAAAACTGGCCAGTAGGCGGTGAAACTGAAAGTGAGCAAAAACGCTAAACACACTTAAACACACTTTTTCATAAAATTGTGATGTTTCAGGACTTCCGAGATTTTTGGTTTGGGAGCATGTTGGGAGCCTCTAGAACACTTTAGAAGGCTCAGAAAAATGAGGACCTCAAAAATGTCCTCATTTTTCTGAGCGTCCTCATTTTGTGAGTGTGTTATCATAAAATTGTCCTAAGATGTCACGAAAACAAGTACACACACACACACACACACACACACACACACACACACACACACACACACAAAAGAAAATCTGCTGATCTTACCTTCCTCATTTTGGCTTCTTTCAGCTTCTCTAGAGCTAGTTTTATTTTCTCTGCTTTTGTTTGGGGTTCTCTCTGGAAACATAGAAGAACGTTATCTCTTTTGCCGCCCCATGTCCAGGAAATTCTGACTTTATATTTTCTCTCAGTGCAAAACTTTGGTTTACCATTTGCATGTTCCTGCAGGATACATCTGTGCTTGGCGGAGGAGGAAGGGCAGTGGCTGGCTCATGTTTCTGAGTCGTTGCGGGTGGTGCAGTTTGATCGTTTGTACCGCCGATGTTTGGTCCAGAAGTAAGGGGTTCCTGCGCGGCTGACTTTGATTCCAGGTCAGCCATTAGAGCATCCAGATCATTGTCTTCCAGTTCATTAAGAGACTCTGTAAGGAGATGTGTGGGTTTAACTATGACCTCAAGAGGGTAAGTTGGAGAATCATGGACGTAAAGCTGATTAGTTCAAAACTTGAACTGGCAAGATACATCTATTGAGAAAAAATTAACAAGCAGCATATTCCAGTGGGAATACCAGGCAATCCTGGGAAACTAGGAGCGTACAGTGTCCTGTATCCCCCTCCCACTAAAACACAGTTTGCTTTTGATTGTTTCAAATTGCTGATATGGCTTTTTTGCACCTCGGCCATAAAAAGCTCATCAGGTACTACAGATGAATCTGTTAAAATTCTCCACAACGTCAAGTCTCAGTCACCTTGCCCCTTGGTCAAAATGGGACCCCCCCCATAGGTCAAGTTTTCCGAATAGCTTGGTTAATGTGATAACTCAAGAAGGAAGTCACCTTGGATTTTCAAATTAATGCCATAGCATCTACTCGGAGGCTGAGGGAGAGTGCTTTTCTTCTGTGAAACAGAGTTTTATCTGCTACTCACCATTCAGGTCGTTGAAGCCAATTGAAAAGGTTTTTTCTGTCTGGGCGGCAGAATCTGCTTCTGGTGAGTCACCTTCAGTCTTCAGACTCTGCAGGGACATAACAGCAAATTAGCATCATCAGAGCCCCTCCGCCATCCCCACAGCCATGAATTACAGTTGCATGTCGTGAAAAACACATGTATGATCACATAGGTCGTGTTCTTGGAGGGAAGCAACAGTTCATAGTTTGAGGTGGCGCTTTAAATCGAAACCCTGTGTCCTCAAAATACTCTGAACTGCTGTCTCTTGGTAACTTGTTTCCCTGTACTTCATCACGCTCTGTCTCCGAGCTAAATCGGTAACACGAAACACATTGCGCTCAGTGTTTGCAGGGGACAATAAATCACAAGTGTGTTTGTTAAGAAAGAACGATTCATCACAACATTACATATAATCAGTGATTTATAATTGGGCCTTCCGAACTAAGGAAATGGCTCTGATATTTCAGTGTCCCCACCATTAAAAAACTTGCTATCAAGAAACAGACTCAAACTGTATGATTTTAATTGTTAACATGCTCTGTCTCTGCAGGCTCACTCATAAACAACCTGGGCAGAAAACCTGGAAACAAAATGATGCCTCCGAGCAGGCTGTTCCACCCTGCTGACTGTGCCTAATAACACATTTGGTCATACTGGAGCTGCTCCGTAGATGACACCTCCAAGCCTCTTTAGACCAGACCTTTTTATACTTTCCTTTAAAAAAGATTTTCTACCTCCGAGGCAGTAAAGCATAGAGAACCAACCCAATCAAGGCAATAAGTGGAATCATTTAAATCCTTTTGTTTCTAAGAGTCTCTGGGGGTCGACGCTTAACTCTAAATGCTTCTCTCGCGAATTCTCCTAATAGTCTTTGAAATGGTGTTTATCACTGTGATGGCTTTCCAAAGAGGATGCAAGTCAGAGTGACAAATGGAGCCTTTCTGGTAAGCATGATGTAATACTGAACATAGATTGATTCCATTCTCAGGGCCGTGCTCGTTTGCAGCTTACATGCAGGGGTTGGAAATTGACATTAACGCCAAGTCTCAGACCCAGGCTTCAATCAGTTATGAGTGTATAATGTGTTTCTTGGCGAGTTGCAGTTTTATGATGAGCAGCTTATGTGTGCTTAAGGAAATCTGCAGCCATTGCCCACATTCCAATCCACAGATGATGACCTCACATGTCGGCATTACGGTCGTCTTGCAAAAACAAAAAGGCTGTAATCAGACAATGCCCAGATTATGACTAAAACACTGAGTGGATTATTCACTTTCATTAACCTGTTCCTGCCTCAAAAGAATGGCATCTTGCACAGTATCAACATGAAGCACTATTCACACATTTTCCAATCTTTTACAGGGATTGCCATGTACCTTAAATGTTCATCAGTTACAGCATCACAATCAAATCAAATCGAAAACAAAAAAAAAGAAAAGAAAACTCACCTGAGAGAGATGATCCATCTCTCCGAGCAGGTGAGTGAACATGGCGTCTATGTCGTCCATCTGCAAACGGTAGAACGAGGAATTCAGATTTTTTAGGAGCAGTTTAGGGGGATAGAATGATGCAAGATGCAGAAAATAAAGTAGATAATGGTGAACCGCCCTGTAGGAGGCACTAGGAAGTGAAAACTTTGGGCGATTTCAGTTCGTTTTGCGATCAGTTTCGTGTTTGTTTTGTGTCAGTTCTGTTTGTGGAAAACCTGGGGGGGTGCAGTCCGGCATAACAGCTGACATTTTTGTGGCAGGGCCCACACAACCAGTAAGTGTATGCGCACACATGCACAGTTCTGGATGTGACAATCCCCATGGCAACAGGGGATAAACAAAATGCAAAGTGCAGCATCTATTTAGACAGAGCAATCAAGAGCAATGATCCGCTGTGTCATCTCGGTGACTTTACAAAGAGCCGAAGCAGCTGTTTCTGTGCTGCTCTGGCTGCAAAGTGCTTCAATTCCTTGGACAGCAAACGTGGAGCTTGTGACCTTCCATTTTCTAAGTGTTCTCTTTAGTATGAGTGCACAGCATAGATACATTTCTTAAATAAGCTAAATAGTTTTCACCTCCTGTAGATGCCATCTGTGTAACTCTTTGTACAGTCTGTGATGGAAGAGCGATAGCTAAAACTCAAATGCTTTGTTTTCTTCGCACTAAATTGATCAGCCCTGCAAAAAGGCTTCATTGAGATCAAAGGTTTTCACCAGACCAAATTTTCTGTGGAATTCAGTGTCTGGGTTTTTCCATATGGGGGCGGCATCTTGCCAGCTTTAGGTCTTGTATGTGGATCGGCTTGAAAAGCAAACTGAAGAATGAGCCCTCTGCTTCTTGCCAACTCTGCAAGACTGTTGCAATATGTGGTTATCAATACCAGTAGATGCACTTATTTTGAAAGGAGCCCAGCAGCTTACCCTGACTCTGAAAGCTGCACGTACAGCAAATATAGAGGTGGGGATGGTGGTAAGATTTAATATAGTCGTTTTATTTGAAGCGACTCTTTTGTATGTGCTAATTTATGAGCTCAGCAGGTCATAAGCATGATACCATTTCCTGATCTTCACACACATCATGTTTTTCTGCACTTTTACTATGACACATAAGCACGTAACACTGCAGTCATACAATGGCTCTGCAAGTTTGCATCTATTATTAGCTTTTCTTTTCTTTTTTGCTCTAATTTCAAAATGTGTGAGGTGGAAACTGTTTCCATTCTTTTTTGCACGTCGTTAGGTTTTGCTCTTGTTTGTGCAACTGACTGTCTTTAACATTAGAAAAGCAATCTGATCTACCCATCTTAACATGCTAACGTATAGTTTTGCACCCTGTCCTGTTCTGTGGATTTTATCTTTTGGGTTTTTTTTCTCTTTCATCTAAGAACCCTACACTGGTTATAAAAGATGAACACCTGGGCTATTCAGAAACAGCATCTTTAAGTTAAGGGCTCGTAGGCAAACTTTACTATTTAGATTATTAGTATTAATTTGTCATTTCTATTAATCCTGTTAGCTGTGTAAAGTTTTTTATAAAAAAAAAAAACAAACTATGGGGCGATCGTGGCTCAAGAGTTGGGAGTTCGCCTTGTAATCGGAAGGTTGCCGGTTCGAGCCCCGGCTTGGACAGTCTCGGTCGTTGTGTCCTTGGGCAAGACACTTCACCCGTTGCCTACTGGTGGTGGTCAGAGGGCCCGGTGGCGCCAGTGTCCGGCAGCCTCGCCTCTGTCAGTGCGCCCCAGGGTGGCTGTGGCTACAATGTAGCTTGCCATCACCAGTGTGTGAATGTGTGTGTGAATGGGTGGATGACTGGATATGTAAAGCGCTTTGGGGTCCTTAGGGACTAGTAAAGCGCTATATAAATACAGGCCATTTACCATTTATTGTTCCTGAGGTAATCTGCCTGCTCTGGCTGAAAATATTTGCATGGACCAAAGAGGCGTTGTTACAAACTGTAAAAATGAAAACTGTTATCTAAAGGACGCTAAAGTGCCCCATAGAGCTAAAGAGTGCTGTCATTTTAAGTGAAACATTTCTTCACGTTTGTAATTAAAAGCAAGACTATGTCCCCACTTTTCCCAATACTGGCTCTAGGTTCTATGTTTTGTATATATATACTTTGAAGTATTAAGCTTGAAGAATGAAGTACCTTCAGGGCTATTTCAAATCTAAATCACTTTCATCCAGCCTAAAAGACCTATTTCAACAATGAGATGCAAATGTATTCCCTGTATTCGCAATTCAGTTCACTTCAGTTTTATTTATATAGCACCAGATTACAACAAGAGTTGCCTTAAGGCATTTTATATTGTAAGTTAAAAACGCTACAAAAATACACAGAAAACGGCAACAATCAGACCTCCTATGAGCAAGCGCTTGGCAAAAGTGGGAAGGAAAAACTCCCTTTTAACAGGAAGAAACCTCCAGCAGAACCAGGCTCAGGGAGGGGCAGGGCCATCTGCCTCGACTGGTTGGGGGTGAGTGGAGGGAGACAGGACAAAAGACACACCAGTGGAAGACTGCCAGAGATTAATAATAAGTAATGATTACATGCAACGTGTTATATAAAGACACAAGGTGAGTGAATTGCATCATGGGAAGCCCCCAGCAGCGTAGGTCTGATGCAGGGAAACTAAGGGAGGACGTTTTAAGCCTAATTGTGATTATGGACATAGAATAATAAAGTCGAGGTCAGTAATATAAATAAACGATGACCACAGCAGACATCGGGGCGATCGTGCTCAAGAGTTGGGAGTTCGCCTTGTAATCGGAAGGTTGCCGGTTCGAGCCCCGGCTTGGACAGTCTCGGTCGTTGTGTCCTTGGGCAAGACACTTCACCCGTTGCCTACTGGTGGTGGTCAGAGGGCCCGGTGGCGCCAGTGTCCGGCAGCCTCGCCTCTGTCAGTGCGCCCCAGGGTGGCTGTGGCTACAATGTAGCTTGCCATCACCAGTGTGTGAATGTGTGTGTGAATGGGTGGATGACTGGATATGTAAAGCGCTTTGGGGTCCTTAGGGACTAGTAAAAGCGCTATATAAATACAGGCCATTTTACCATCGGTTGGGCTGTTTAGCTTGGCCCTAATATATTGCAAACTTTAAAGCTGGAGCTTAAAGTATAGAACATGCAGATTCTGTCCTGTGTGCACTGAGTCATACATGTTGTTTGAAACATGTATAAACTGTGTTCCTGTATTTATTAGTCTCTGCATAACTTGCGCATTGTCATGCGACAGATGCGCGTCCACTGTGCCATCTCTGTTGCTCAGTCTCATTCTGTGTTTACGCCGAGCAGTAAACAGACCATTAAAGTGAAACGGGGTAAAAGGGGAAGAGTGGAGCGAGATGTAGCTCACTAGGTATTGCTTCCACATGAAAGTGAAATTTTTGGATCGCTACAGAACTTTACCTCTGGACTTCTGCGTCACACATGTGAAACTCATTCCAATCCTCCGTCTCCTTTGTCTCGTGTAACCTTTTCGTTTGATTTTTCCCGATTAATTTCAACAAATGTGCATTTGCAGACTGCGCTCATGAAAGCAAGCATCGCAAACACCACATTTGTTTATGAATTCCATGCTCTCATCAGGCATGTCAGAGTGTTGCCTCTGCCTCCCGATGTGGTCTCACACATCAACAAAAACGAGGCAACGCCAAGAGACACGCAGGCGGCCGTGCCAAAGCCTGAGCACAAAAGGCGATTTATTGAGATGTATGTGCATGAAAGGAATCACAGTGCATTGCCTGCTAACAGTAAACCAACATGTTTTCTCTCTTCTTGCGGTCGAGAGCTTCTTGCTGTTTTCTAATTAGTTGCACAACCGTCCACTGGCTGCTGTGAGAGGGCATGTGTTTGTCTTAAGCAAAGCTGATGTGGCCATTCAAGTATTTAACTCTTAAAAGAACCAACAGAAGGCAGAAATGTGTGTATGCACAGTAAGCCAAAAGCTTTACATACTTCAAATGATTAGATTCTTATCCATCGCTCACCATGAAAGTGTGATCACTCTTAACGTCAGGCTGCAGTGTGACAACCAGCCCCAAAATACAGCGAGAGCCAGAGCAACAAGAGCATCACTGAGCTGATCTGGACTTACAGCTACATGAAACAACCAAAACTCGCAAAAGCAAGACTGCAGCTCTTAAATGCTGATTTAATCGTGCTCATTTTATTTAAGGCTATCCTGCAGCACAGCACTGAACTGTTAACACAGTAGTTCTGAATTCAGTAGTAGCATATTTTTTATTGTATTGATTTACTATGAAGTTCCAACCAACTTAAATACAAACTCTATCTTTCATTAACACATTTTTAGCATTCTTACCTTTTCTCTGTCTTTGACACATGGAAGCATCACAGAGTGAGTGTCATTGCTGCAACCCTGACAGGTCAGTCTATATGTGAGCGCTTGCACATGTGACTTTGTCTGCACTGCCTGATATGCTACAGATATTCGCTCAGCTTCCTCTGAAATCAGGAAGTAGATCTAAGTTTTTCTGGTAAAGCAGATAGGGCTTAAGTAGTGCTCTGAGCTCTACTTCTGGCCTGGCAGGGCCACACAGTTGTTTTCACTACTTTATTCTGGTAAGAGCTATCAGTAGTTCCTTAATGTGGGAATGTGCTACTGATATATACCCTTTTATTGTAGTACTTAGTCAATACAAATTTGTATTTACAATACTTATTATTTGAATGGGGGCTGGCGATGTCAGCAACCTTCCAGTTTCCTTTAAAACTCAGATGTCTGAGAACATTTTAGCTTGTTTTTTCTCACATTTGGTTTACTTATACTTGTTTACCATACCTGACATTGATCTGTGATGTTTCTTTTATATTTTACATTTGGTCTACATAATATTTACGAGGTTGATTGGTGGGAAATCATTTGAAAACGTCGTACAACAAAAGGTCTTTTAGAAAACACACACAAAGGATTAGAACATTTTGAAATATGAATGAAAACAGATCTTATATTTATTATATTCAGTGCAATAGACTACACAGAACCCCTGCAGATTACAATAAAACAAAATGCTGTTTTGAGTTTAGGAGAGTGGTGCGCATGTTTCAGCTTTTCCCTGATGCGAAGTGGTTTTGATAAGATGAAACTGTTTCTTGTCATTAAATGTTAAATGTACTGACTCCCTGCTGCACGGCCATATGTTAATGTTTACTTAAGGGAACAACAGCACGATGTTCTACCAAAGATTGTTTATGGACAGTGGTGGAGTGGAGTGGAGTAGAGTGGAGTGGTGCAAACAGCTTTAAGTCCTCAAACAAAATCGTATTTGACAACTTTGAAATGTGAGCGAGCAAAGCGCAGAGGAAAGCGAAAGAGCTGCTGGAATAGATGCATAGAATAAACATGATTCATCAGGATGACATCTCTTCTTTATCTGTCTGTCATTTTAAGATGTGGTGTACTTTTTTTTCTCCTTTGGTGCTTTGTTTTTGCACGATCACAAATAAAATGCACACGACTTAGTGCAGAGGTGCGATTGTAGACAATGCAGTGTAGTGTGTTTAATATTTAAAGCACTGCTGTGCAGATGTGCAGATAGAATGTGTAAAATCTAATAATGTAAAAACTGTAACAAATATTTTTGTACTGAGGCTTTTCAGATAATAGAAGACCCCCCCATCTGGCTTTTAATCACTGTGAACCTTTGTTCAGCGTTACTGAGACTTGTCACCATATTCAGAGTCCTATGTGGTCTCACACTTGCTAATTTATGTGTTGCACCTCCGGCATTAGCTGGCAACTGTGCATATGTGTGTGCACATTGCACTTTAAGCCCTCTGTACAGCCTTTTGAGAATGTCTGCATTGCCAGCTCAGGACATCTATCGTGGCTGTTTGTAAGCTCTTCTTCTGGTTGATTTACAAGAAAGTAATGTGCAGCTACACACAGGCTTCCTTGGTGTATGATGAGAGGGCGAATGCCATTTTGCTGTGAAAATAAGAAGAGAGGGTAGCATTTAAGTGCTTCTAATGTGGGTTAAAGCTTTAATCAAAGCCATGTGGGGTCAGAGAAGGGAAATGAGAGTGGCAATAAAATGTAATAGAGTTTACATTTTACAGGAGAAGCCGTTTTGACTCCAGCTTTGTAATATACCAGAGTTGTGTTTAGAAGTCAGCACTCTACCCAGAACCAAAGAGGAGATCAAAGCTTTGATGTCATTTAAAGTTTTTCATTCTGACGGGGCTTGTTAAAAAGCCACAGGGTTAATCTTGTCATCCAAATCAATCGTAAAGGGCGAAAAAAGAAAGAGTTACATGTGAAAGCTTCTGTAAACAGTCCGTGAAATTCCTTTTAGAGGCTCCACGTCACTGCTGTATGTGTGTAAAAGTGCTTATGACTGACCATCCCAAGTGTGAGAATAAAAATAACCTAAGGATAGTGCAAATATGCGGTGCTTGAGTAGGAATGGAGTGACTCGGCAGAGTGGTATGTCCGGGAAAGCTACGGGTTAATTTAAGACTAGGAGCAAAACCTGGTGCCAATTAGAAGCATTGAGCGCCACATGTGGACTAGACCGAACTATCCACAGAAGGGGCAAAGGGGTCTGAATTCGTGCGCAATGGAGGCTAGTTGGACGAGTGCGCAGTTGCTTACGGTTCTTACTGGCAATTGCTGATCCTGCAGTTACTGATATGATGGATATTTTCTTAAAGAGATGATCAAACAGTATCTACAAGTCTGAAGGACGCTCTGATGCTCTGAGGCCCCCATTAAAACGTGGATGTTTTACATTTTTACCTTTAAGGATTGCAACATGGCAGGAATCTCTCTCATATTTTCACTTTTTGTCACAACTCTGTTCTTCACGGGGAGTGTATCGGACACATGCCGAGGACCGCGCTGCTTTCCTGGTCACGACTGGAGCAGACCGTGCGTAGGAGCGCAGTGCCAAGGGCGCACGGACACATCCGCGTCCCGACGGCAGTTTGACCACTCTGCACAATCCAGGCAAGGACAAACCTATCCGACTTACCAACACGACGCTCATTTCCGTCAGCACAAACCACAGAGCGCGCCCTTAGCACCGTACACCGTCATCCAGCCTCAGCACGGAGGCTTTACGCAGGCGGCAGGTACGGATGGCACCAGGAGGACGAACCCGAGGACCATCACGGCGGAGGTGTTCCACCCTGGCTGCGCCGGGGGCACCTGTCCGACGACTGTCTCTCATCGCCCCACGAGTGATGACAGCGCAACGCGGGAGTGCAAAGGCATTGGATGTAAACTGCCCTCCCGGATGCGCCAGAGGAACGGTAAGCTTTGCGTTGGAGACGGCTGCAGCACGCAAGGAGACGACGGGAGAGGAAGCTCGTCACCAGTTCATGTGACGGACAGAGCGGCACAATTTCTGGACGAGCTCCCAGAACTTGGGTCGCAACGTGGAGCATGGATTCAGCTGACATGTGACATGAAACCAGGTGGGTATCAGTTTGCAAGCGATTGGTCAGAAAATTCAAAGAGAAATAAACTAAAAATGATAATCACTTCAGTTGCTATGTAACAGGTTTCTTTGTTTACTACAGGGAACAATGACGTTCCCTCAGAGGATGCTCTAGTCCTGCAGTTGCAGCTGTCTAAGAGTCAGGAAAGGTTCGTCGAGGCCCTCAAAGGCCAACAAAACGAGGTCAAGGAGCTACAGAGGCTGCTCAGTGAGCAGCAAGGAACATTGGTCAACCAGCAGAGAGAAATACTTGACCAGCAGAGGAGGATGTATGAGCAGATGGAGCAAGTAAGGCTGCTGTGACTGATAATGAGGGAGATATCAGTAGTCCCATAGTCTTGGGGCAGTATTTAAGTTTGGGTTTTTTTTAAAGTGCATAGAAAGCACCTAATCCACTGAAATTATATTCTTTTTCTCAACTCCCTGAAACAGATCAGTTTCATTATGAATCAGATAAGGACAATATTTCCTAGCAAAGTGAAGAAATAAGACAATTCCAAAGTGTTATACAAGTAGTGCTCTCTTCCTCCAGGTAAAGGCTCAGTACAACGTACTGATGGACAGCATCAAACAAACATCTTTCCAGAACCTCCAGGGGGAGCTGGACAGTCGCATGGAAACCTTAAGTGGGCAGGTTAGAGCTCACCAAGCACAGCAGGCTCTCTCTTTGCACAAAGTGGACATGGAGGCCACTGTGATGGAGGTGAGCCTTAAGCTAAATTATAAATGTGTTTACAGTAGTGATGAGATGTAAGAGATCTAACTGTCATATAAAGCATAAATTGCACTATAGGAGAATCTTAAATGAGCAAATCTGAGTGTACTTCTATTCATACTTGACAATTTTGGGCTTGTTAAGCTGCTGTAGCCTGCATAGACTTGTGGCCGCCTTTGCAAGCCACTTTGCAACCCATATCAATCTCACCTTCCTGTTTTTATGCTTAAAATATCCCTTGTTGTCACTGAATATAAAAAAATTAAATAAAATATTACAATTTTTTTTGTCAATTTTTAACTTTAGCATCAACATATTTCTTTAACTGGAGTGCATTATGTGAACATTATGTCAAGCATTCTAATATCAAAATATTATATTTGACTACCATGGTTCTAAGTATCATTGTGTTTAATGCCATTAGGTGGGTCGGCCCCTTTTGACCTGTGGCAGTTGTGGGCCTGATGAGTACTGTGGCTACAGCAGTGGCCGTCCTCGCTGTGAGAAGTGCACCGTCTGTCCTGCTGGATTCTTCCTGGTCGCCCAGTGTTCAGTACATGCAGACAGGATCTGCCAGGTTAGCATGTGTTAGCATGTCTTTTAACCACATACAGGAAAGCGGTGACAAATCAGCTTGACAAAAATGTAACATCAGATCAGTTAGGCCACCAAGTGAAGCTTAGTCTGGAATCCCTGTGCAACAGCTGCTGAAAGTTTATCTAAATCAGACAAAATCAACTGATGGCTATGCTGATGTGTTTTTGTGCATCCACATTGGCAAATTTCATTCAGAGTGGGCTAGTTAAGCTGCTTTAGCTTGGCTAAAGTTGCTGCTGCCACTAAAAGCCACTTTGCAAACCATATCAACCCCAGGTCCTTTTTATACTTAAAATGTCCTATCTTATCATACCATATCTGTTGTCACTTGTATCTGAATATAAACGATGGCAGCTGGAAATGGCAGTCTTCTTTTGACTGAAGTTTAGTTTATTCATTTAGAACTTTATGCACTTGCGGAAAAAACGTGTTTTATTGTAGGGTTTATGAGCCTTACAATAAAAGGTTTATCACAAAGTTTGTCAAAGCAAAGGAAAACATTTTTTACCAGTGGACCATATTAGAACCAGTAGGCCATTTGGTTCAGTACTTTTTCAGTGCTTGCCTGGAGTTGTTGCAGTATCTGCATGCTACTTTGCAACCCATCTCTTGATCCTACCTTCCAAACTGAAAGTTTCCATTTGTTTGTTACAGGACAGAGATGAATGTCTTGAAATAGCTGATCTGTGCGGAGGTCAACAGAAGTGTCTCAACACTCCAGGTGCTTTGAATTGCTTTAAAAATTTGAATATTTTTGTTATGTCAGTGCTTCTTGATTTGCTAGACATA